ACCTGGCGTTGGGCGCTGCCGCGTCGGTGGGGTCGGACGGCGAGGGGCGGGACTGGGGCAGGGGCGGCGCGCCTCGTTGAGCGCCGTCGCCATCCCCGTGTTGAAGGCGAGGAGCGCAGAGAGGCCGCAGACGTGCTCCGCCTGCAGAGCGTGCAGAGAAAGGGGAGGGGGGGAGGGGGGGGGGGGGCGTTCGTGTCGGTTCGGCAGAGGAGATGCGCGGCGGCCGCTCGACCGCCCCCTACCGGGGCCCGCGCCCCCGGCCCTCGCCCCTGCGCGCCTGCACTCTCGCCAGGGGCAGCTCCTTGACTCGATCGAGCGCCGCCGCCTGCAGACGGGCGGGAGCAGTTCTCTGGGGGCGCCGTCCGCCACGCACCGCCCCGCGGAGGGGGCGTGCCATGTGCGTCAGAGGCAGTGACAGCTCCGTCTCGGACTGAGAGAGCATGTCGAGGGCGGGCGCGAGCTGCCGCAGGTCGGAGGCCATGTCGGCCTGCGTGCGCACTGCTGCGTGCTGCTTTGACGCGCTCGCAGAGGCAATCGTCGCGTAGTTGGCGGCGAAGGCGCGGACGCGCTCGATCGCCTCCTCGTCAGGCACCTTGTGCGCCATCAGCGACTGCACACTCTTGAGGCTCTCCTGGACACGCGGGCCAGGGTGCGACGGTCAAGCCCGGCGAGAGGGCGGCGAGAGGGCTTGCGGCCGGGCTCGCTCTCCTGGGTGCCGTCGAAGAGCGCGCCGAGCCACGAGGAGCCCGTCGCATTCTTGACGGTCTGCAGCTCCCACACCTTGGCCTCCAGGAAGGTCTGCAGGTCGGAGGACTCCCGCAGCCGCTCGTGCCCCGCCACGCGCCTCAGGAACAGCTGCAGCCCGGCCTGCCTCCGCTCGATGAAGTTTGGCGAGAAGCGGTCGTCCTTGAGCGGCGAGTCCACGGTGGGGAGCGGCGGCACGACGCAGCCAGGGAAGGCGTGGCACAGCCGGTCGCGCAGCCACACGAAGTCGCGATAGCGCCGCCGGACGAAGAACTCTTTCGCCGCGTACCGCGAGAGCTGCGTCACTGTGGAGAGCTTGTAGTCGACGAACGCGGCGGTGATTGAGGTTCCGTGCTTCTCCGGGTCGGAGACCGTGATTAGCAGCGCCGCCTCGGAGGAGGGCTGCCCGTCCGCGCTCATGTCCCAGCTTACTGGGCTGGGTTTTTAGGCATTGTGGGGTTGGCACTCCCGTACCCTCATGACCTCCTGCGGTCTCTGAGATGGACACCAGTGGGTGTGGGACCATAGCCAGGGTACACTCGAAGCATAGCCAGGGTACACTCGAAGGCTGGGTAAGCAGTAGAGGTCGATACTCGACGCGTCCCACATGGTCTGTGTCGCTGTCGGCACGCTGTCGACAGGACGTCGAGCGACACCGGTGGCAGTGCCACCCAGGAGTGGTCGGGCGGTCTCCCGTCATGAGAGAGCCACCATGCGATCCGTATGATGATTCCTGACAACCGCCTCAGTCAACTTTCGTCACAGTTCCCGCTCTGAGCTGTCACTGAGAGGAGCTGCGGGTCAGTTCGACAGCTGGAGCTGTGTCGCCGGCGTGCGGCGGCCTTGCTTCGGAGGTGCCTCTGAGGTGGACA